CTACATACTTAAGAGTTCTTTAACAATTCCAGGAAAATATCAATATAAACAATAAATGAGATATTGAAATATATTATCATATTTCCAAATCCAATGGATCTTTAAATGTTAAAAAAATTACATACAGACAAAATATTGATTTCATATGAAATTCAGCTATCTGTAGAGTGAGCAACTCAAATTATATTTTTAATAAAAATATTGTAATGTTTAAATAAATAATTATATATTTTTTAAATTGATCTTGCCTCTTGGTAGGCAGCCACTCTACAGTTATACAAAACTGTTCACTCAACACAAGAGGAACTTAAGCAGTCAAAAGAGAGTTTGGCTTAGACAAAAGTATACTTTTTGTGGGAAAAAAAAGACAACTGATTATTCAGTAACCACAGGTGGTCAACACTTTCATTTCACATCACATTTGACACTAGAACAACAATCTAACCAACAGAAGTAGCATGCAACCAGAGAGAAAATGAGCGCCAAAATGGCCGCCATAGAGTCCCCTGGCTGCCTCTGATGCTGGTACTTGATTTCTCTGCAGACTTACCCTGTTCCCTTCTGGTGCTCATAAATAATCACATTGATTGACAAGAGGACATGTTCTGGATAGTCTTTGCATCATGAAACAAATCCATCTATATCAGAACTATTATTAAAAATGGGCTAGAAATTGTAGTGATTCTTGCTTGTCTCTGAAACTCTGAAGTGACAGCCTCCAACCTCCAAACCCATGTTAAAAAAGCGGGGAAGGGGGCAAGAAGAGTAGATCTGATCTTCAAAAAAATAAAGCTCAGGACTGCCTTTCCACTCATGTCAGAATCAGACTTGCTAACCTGGCCTTTTCCCTTTTTGGAGATTATATGAGAATCAAATTTTGCTATTAATTTCTTGGCAAGATTATAAGAGCTTCAAAGAAGGAACCAACAGGATCAGTCTTTTTCATACTTACAATTTTTTATGTCTCAATCTTATATTGATCATAAATCTGATAGTATTTTATAAATATATGTCTACAACCTGCTTAAGACAGTTCATCTATAGCGCACTCTGAATAAAGAGTAAAACCTTCCAAGAATAGATGGACTTGCAGTATTCATACCAGTTATTGCTGTTTGGGAGTTGCTCTTAGGCACTTACTTCACTTCTTCAAAATATTAAGGCAATAAACACAACTTCAGAAAGGAAGAATGACAGCTTTATCCGACCCAATTCCAAACCTTAACACTTGCATACCCTGAATAAGAACAAAAGGCCCTAATTCCTCAAAAACCTTTATTTGGCAATAGTCACGAAGTGTACAGAACTTTTATCTCAGGAAATATTTTCCAACTTAAATTTTATACTGAAAGCATCTCTCTATAACCTCAAGCCAGCATTACAGGGATTACTCATCAGTTTTTTACTTTGTAAACTATGTGGGCAACACAAAATGTAGACCTCTCAGCATCTCTCTTTTCTTATTTAAGAATGGAGTATGAATGTCACAAATAAATCGGCAATGAAATCTGGAAATGTTTTTTTTTAAATTGAACTCTATGATACAAAGACCGTGAAACATTCTCTCTGTTTGCAAAGATATTGAATAGGAAAAAAATAGACAATGTATTTTCGTACTGAAATAAAAGGACCTGTTATGTGACTATGACAATGGCCTAGTATCAAGAAAAAAATATAAAGTCTTTGTGCTGAATAACAATTCTATAAATATATTCAATTATTTTGATAAATGGGTAAAATATATCTTAATCATCTTAACAGCTGAATATATCATGGCTATTATGACATACCTTCTGCTTTCTGAATACATTACATTAGTAGATTCTACTTTAGTTCTAAAATTTCTAGAAAATCAGCATTTTCACCATGAATAGTGTCTTAACAACTTTGCGCAAAACGTATATTTAACCATCCATATAAATTCTGCCATTTAATCAGTAATCATAAATCGAGTAGCTCTTACATGCTAGGTATCAGAAATACAAAAATATATATGACTGTGCCTCCAAGGAGAAACACAGTGCATAGAAAGGCAGACATGTAAAAACATAAATTATAATATAGGTCATGAGAAAAGATACAAACAAGTTTCATGGATAAAGAATAAAGCAGCAACCACTCTGCCTTGGGAAGTCAGTGAAAGCATCCAAGAAGAAGCAAGTTTTGAATTCAGTCTTGTGGGAGAAACACAATTCATCAAAAAGGTAAAACATGAAAAGAGAGAGTTTTCCAGTAGAACGAATAAAAGCTGTGTCATTTGAGGTCACCTGGGATGTTTATGAACATGTATGAAAAGGTTGGCATGACTGGAGCATGGGGTCCATGGCAGGATGTGGCAGGAGAGGAGACCAAAGCCATAGTTTGATGCTAGTGTATATAGATTTTTATGCTAAGATAAAGAGTTTTAGACTAAATCCTGTAAGCAATAAGGACACATGTTAGTTTCCAAAGTGGAGTAAATAATCCAACTCATTTCTCAGGGAAACAAGTCTAGTGGAAGTTGAAAGACTGGAAAGAGGAGAGGCTGAAAATTTGAGATAATATAAGAGACTCTTCCAACTGTCTACTCAAGAGCTTAAACACGGGTAGAATCAAGAAACAATTGAGGCAGAAACAAATTTAGAAACCAATTAGACACATGGTAAGAGAAAATGTTAGTGCTGACTCACTAAAATCAAGTTAAACCATTTGTATCCAAACCGTATCAACTTCTAAAATAGTAGATCTTAACCCTTTTAGGTTACAGATCTACTTGTGAGTCTGATGAAAACCATAATCTTCCTCCCATGTGTGCATATACAGAATCCTCCATTTGTTTTCAGGAGATCCATAGACTTGGTTAAGAACTTCTGCTCTAGATGAAGTTGTTTGAGGAAAGGATTTGTGTCTTATTCAAATATATTTCCATGGTGTCCAACAAAAATCTTGGTACAAAGTAGGCAGTTCATAGTTTTCATTTAGTTGAACTGAATGCTCCATTACAAACTGAATAGTTCATTCTCACTAACATGCTGCATCACAGCATCCCCTCATGCCAACTACAGTATGTAATTTATTTTCTTATAGCCATCCTTGAGTATACTTAAAATAATCTCCTCTTTATCTTTGTGGTATTCTTCTAGTCATAACTATTTATATTCACTCCTTCAAATTTGTGTGTTTATGTTTATAGTAGTATCACAGGAAAACCAAACCAAGAAGCATTCTCAATAGAGTACTCCCCAAGAGAAGGCCATGGTTAAAATACTGAGGGAAAAGGCATTAGCAGTGATGCAATGTCAAATGGAGAATCTGACTTCCCAACCCTGTTGAACTGCGCACTTCCATTTTTTCCCATTCTTTTCCAGTTTACAGTTTAGACACAGTTTAACCTGTTTCAGAGGAGGCCAAAAAGTTATATCATTGCATATAACTAACATGAACTCATAGTAGACGGAAAAGGGAGGAATTATGGACAGTATGATTTAACTTGCCAAATAAGAAATAATCAGAAAATAAAATAAGCGTGTGCTCTTGTAAAGAGCTTATAATGTTTATAAGCATGGACTTCAAAGCCAGATTGCCCGGGTAAATCCTGGTTCTCTCATGTATTAACTGTGATCAGAAGCAAGTTTAACTGCTCTGTGTCTCAGTTTCCTCATCTATAAAATGGGATCAATAATAATGCCTCATCGAATTATTATGAAGGTGTAAATGAGTTAATATATGTAAGTGCTTAAAACACCACTTCTGTATAAGTGCTAGATAAGTGTTAGGTAAAATATTATTCTTGGTGGGAAAATCTTGGCACACAGTAAAACATCCACAGAAATTTTGACCTATAAGGCTTAAAATGTTGAATGAGATTATTTAAATATAATATAAATATCAAAGAATAGAATCCATCTCATAGCCATTAGGAGATATTTGATTCTTCTTGTTGATTTAATTCTACATACAGTAATACAATACTATAAATAGGTGGGCATATTTCACTACAAAGCACATTTATGATATATAATAATTTTCCAGAGAAAATAAAAAAAAAAAAAGGATTTAATAGAATCAGAGCTATCTTTAAAGGTATGAGAATGGGTGATGAAACATTTTTGTTGGTGTAATCTGGTTCAAATTAATGGCACTGGCATCTTTGAAGTAGAAGAGGAGGAGAGGTCACAGAAACATGACATCCACCGAAGCAGTCATGTTAAAAAGGCTAGGGTGGCTTTACTGGCAGCTAAGTGCCCTGCTACCTCGCCAGCATGCTGACTCTATGTATTCAAATTACTAAGAAGGAGCTAAAAGCCTTCTGTGTGTGTGTATCTGCTGTTTAAGCTTCAGCCAAAGATGCTATGCTTCCTTCTTCCCTCTCATCAGTCAAACAACAGTTTCCTAATCTTCTGCAGTGATGCAGACCCCAGTATGAGGGGCCAGGTAAATTATCCTGAGTTGCAAATACTGGACTAGGATGTACTGAATTATCAAAACAACAGCATGAATGGGACTGAGTTAGAAATTAGTGCAATCACATTGAAAACTATAGTCTCTATGAAATATACTCTTCTATAATATTCCCAGTACTGTAAGGAATACTGGAATCCAATCTGGGCAAAGCAAAAAATTGAAAAAGATGGAAATGTTCAAATGATGTTGTAATTCTATCTGAAAAAACCTTTTATTAAAATATTATGACACCTAACTTGCATGCTGACTAATTTTAAATGTGTTACTTTAACATTATTCTTCTGTTTACATGTTTTTCCTGTAATTAAACTGTAAGTATCTCAAAAGCAGAATTCTTGAAAAATCAAAAAAGAAACCAAAAAAAAAAAAAAATAGCATATCTTATACTCCCTACTGGCGTCAATTTACTTATAAAGGATTCTAAGATGTTAGAAGTGAATCTGGTGTATGGCTATTAAGTAGATGTTAATTACAAAGCAAAAGACTGAAACCAAACTATTAGAGGAGTAGACTGGTCGAAAAGTAAGTGTAGACACAATAGACCATGAGAAACCTACCATTGTATTGTGCTGAGAAGTGGGAGTCCTATGGCCACAAGTCTCTTGCGTCAGCAGAGAAACTGGCTGAAATTCCTCAGAGTGAGGCTTGTTGGGAAAACTCACATGCAAGGGAAGGTGAAAGGCTGGGAGCCCGTCACTCTCCTCTTCTTCCACTTTCTGTCTGCTTGTCACCATGGCTACCTCTCCATCTGCTTCCCCATACGGAGAGGCTGGTCGCTTGGAAGACATCCTGGAAGGAACAAAAGAGAAGAAAATAATGAAACCTCCACATAAATCCTTAATGCCGTCATTGTGTGGTTAGGGCCCATTGTAACAAAAATGCCTTTTTGTGCTGGCAGAGAGCAGGAAACCATCCAAATACCACTGCAAAGCACACACAATCAGAAACAATGGCCAAGCAGGTAGCAACAGAACAGTGCTTGTTTGTTGTGAGAATAATACACTAATATAGCACTCTCTTGTATTCTGGCTTCTTAAACAAGAGAACTCACCTAAGACCAGTGCATATGAAAGACCATTCCATTTTAAAGGAAAGAAAAATACCCGTCTAGTTTTACACTTTGATAGACCTCACTGAAGACAGAACATCTATGAATAGCAAATATTGCTGGCAGTTAAAAGAAGGGAAATAACTAAAATTTCTTTCATCAAAAAATAAACAAAATGAATGATTGCTATTATAACAAATTTGCATTTTATTAAAAGTAAGATTATTGTGAAATGCAGAAATATTGGTTATAAGCAAACCTCAGACCGCATGACAAAAAGTTTGATCTTTGCTTAAAGCTTCTTAAGAATTGAATAAATTTTACAATCACTGTTAATCTTGAAACATTTGAGAATTTTTTCTTCCCTCACCTCTCCAAATAACCCAATTTTTGCATTTAGTTCTAATATCAAATTTGCAAAGTAGTAAAAAAGGTAAGAATATAAAAATATTTCAATTTTATTTCTACAATTCTATGAAAGACTTAGGTATGGATTCTCAGACTTATTTACTCCTTAGAATACCTAAGTAAAAGAAAAAAATCAAATAAGGATGTTTTGTTTTAATGAGCTAATGCCTAAATGACAATGCACTTAAATATTGAACAAAAATTAAACATTTTTTTGTACTTGACTCTGACTGAGAATATTATCAGAGGTTAAAAATATGAGGCAAATATTTTTAGTTAAATAGTTCCTTTTCATTAAAAGTTTTACACAGAAGCAGTATAGAGTTAAATTTTTTAATAAAAAAACTCTTGTAATTACAACTTGATCTGACCTTGAAAAAGCTGTAATTTTTGTTCAACAAACAAAGAGTGTTTACAGAACCATCCATTCTTATCCTAGACTAGTGGGAATAGGAGGCAGGAAAGTATTAACAAACTGTCACACCACTTCCTTCATATATATATATCACTGATTTTTAAATTTAAAATGTACTACCAAAAGAGATGCCTCTAATCATTGTTGAATAATATTATTCTGTCATAAGTTTCAAAGAACAGTGTATTCGAGTACTGAAGATATTCTATCAAGAAATAATAGCATAGTAGAAAAAAATAAGGGCTGTGAAATCAGACACGCATGGGTTGAAATATCGATTCTAGTACTTACTGTGCGACTTACCTTACTCTATATCAATTTACTCATCTTTAAAAGGAGATGTAATATCTATTTGTACTGCTTTTTGAGAATGAACTGTGTACCATATGAAAAATGACTTGAGCATTTAGCACAGAGTAGATACTCAATAAACAGTAGCTGCTGTTTATTTACAAACTTTAAAACTATAGTGTGATTCACTCCCCCTCAAAAAACAAAAACCAAAAACTCCAAAATGAGGAAAGCAGATTGCCTTCTAAGAGTTAAACTATAAAATCAATATGAAATACTAAGTCTCCCAATAGAGAATTGCTCCCTGGCCAGCCATATTTGACAATAAACTCATCAAATGTATTAGCAAGTGTTAAAGAAGAAATGGTCGGGGTGTTGATCAGCTGAAGAACAGAGAAAAAGGAGGAAATGTTGGTGGCTACCATGTAAGTACTGTCTAAAGAAAAAGTAGATTGAGCCATCACATTTCAGGTATCTTTTTTTGTGTGTGTGAGGAAGATCAGCCCTGAGCTAACATCTGCCAATCCGCCTCTTTTTCCTGAGGAAGACTGGCCCTGGGCTAACATCTGTGCCCATCTTCCTCCACTTTATATGGGACGCTGCCACAGCATAGCTTGACAAGCGGTGCTTCGGTGTGCACCTGGGTTCCAAACCTGGGCAGCCAGCAGCGGAGCGTGCGCACTTAAGCACTACACCATGGGGCCAGCCCCACATTTCAGGTATCTTTAACTATTTCTGATCTCATTACCAAAGTATACTCTAAATATACTCTAAGTATGGAGAAAGGAAGTAAGGGCCTGGAGCTACTAGAGTTAAAATAGTCTTAGTCTCTTGGCAACACCATGTCTATCACCAAATTGATATATTAAACTATACGTAATAACTCTAAACACTAGAGATATTTAACTCCTACTGTTCTGCTTCTATGCTCTCCAAGCAAACTTTTGATTCCCATATAGAGAATGGGCTGACAGAACAGAAAAAATATTTAAGGTCTTTGTGAAGTGACTTATCGGAGTAAATCAATAAAGGGACTTTTAATTATTTCTTGATTTCACATGTAGCTTGACTACAAGGAGATTATGCATTTATGATATAAGCCATAATAATTATGGTCTGTGTGGGCATTATCATTCTTGCTGGAATTAATAAATTGGTATTCTGGTGTCTATCTCAGTCTTATGTACAATTAGTCTCTTACTGTCTGAAAACTCCAGGCTATTGGCAAGAGCCAGTCTCTGGGTTACAAAAGCAGAAAGCTAGATCAGGTGGCCTTTCCTAAGTTAATATAATTCTATGACTTTCAGAAGGCATGATCTTTTTGCTGATTTCTACTTTATTAACATAATTATTAATAATGATTATAAAAATTGAAAGTCCAAAAGTAGACATAAGGTAGATAAAGTAGATAGTTAAGATAACACTCAAAACCTAGTCATTTCAATATCTAAAACCTAGACATTTCAATATCTAAATCATCTTTATATACAAGCGGATAAACATTCTCTCTCTATATATATCATTCTATGGAGCAAAAAGTATAAGGTCTAAAGCACTGAGCAGGAAGGAGTTATGGTGACAGAAGGCAACTGATCCCAAAATATCACATATTTCATGTTTATTTCAATTCCATTTTCAGAGCCTTATGGAATGTTCTTAATGTGTTGGATATGCGAATATTTTTATACAATTCAGGTAAAAGATTTTTTAAAGATTTTTTAAATTATTACAATAAAAATACTATGGTTATAGTTCAATAATAGGCTACTAAGTCAGAAGAAAGTAAAACACTTAAATTATGTAGAGAGCTATCAATCTGTTGGTTGCATTATTCATGTTTAGTCTGACTCATAGTAGTTATACAAATATTAATAACAAAATCACCAATAACATTAGATTCTTGAATTTTTGTTCATCTACCGCAGGGTTTCATTTTGGACAGAGGAAAGTTTCATTAATTTCAAAAAGAGCATTAAGAAGGCAGGGCAAATTTCTATATATCGTCTATCCAGGATATGTAGGGTTCCAATTCTTGCAGCTTACACTACACGGCTGTGTTGCAGTGCAAGGATACCTTGGAACAATTTGAGGATCTGGGCTGGGGTATGCTCTTATGTATTTATTCAGAGATGATTTTTGTCACTTCTGTGGTAGGTGCTAGACTTACCAATGAACAAAATTCAGACTTAAAAGAAACTGACATGACACAGACAAATATAATCTAGTGCGAAACTACCTTGTGGAGCTATGATGGCATAACAGTAGTCTTTAACTCAGTTTTGTGTGTGGACAAGAAAATTTTGAAAGAACTGACGTGTTTTTTGTGTTTTTTTTTTTTTTTTTTTTGGTGAGGAAGATCAGCCCTGAGCTAACATCCATGTCAATCCTCCTCTTTTTGCTGAAGAAGACTGGCCCTGGGCTAACATCTGTGCCCATATTCCTCCACTTTATATGGGGCGCCACCACAGCATGGCTTGACAAGCGGTGCCTCAGTGCACGCCCAGGATCCGAACCCAGGCTGCCAGCAGCGGAGCACGGGCACTTAACTGCTACGCCATGGGGCTGGCCCCTACGTTTAATTCCAGGGCAAAAAAAGAAATCTTCAAATCATCAACCACCATTTACTGACCACTTACTATGTGTAAGACACTTATCTAATAGGAATAAAAAAACGAAATGCAGAATCTCTCCTTTAAAAAGCTTATGACGAGGCCGGCCCCATGGCTTAGCGGTTAAGTGCGTGCGCTCCGCTGCCGGCGGCCCGGGGTTCGGATCCCGGGCACGGACCGACGCACCGCTTCTCCGGCCATGCTGAGGCCGCGTCCCATATACAGCAACTAGAAGGATGTGCAGCTATGACAGACAACTATCTACTGGGGCTTTGGGGGAAAAATAAATAAATAAAATCTTTAAAAAGCTTATGAGTTGCTTGAGAAAATTTTAAATAAAAGGAGAAATAATAATGAAAGACAGTTCAGGTTAATGGCCAAATTACATTAAAGTTAAGCACCTAAGGGATTCATAAGGGCCAGAAGATACTGGAATGCTTCAGAGAATGAATGACCAGTTGGATTTCGAGAGAAAAGAAGGACAAATGGAAAGCTGGGGATAAATGGAGAGGGAATTTCATGTAGGAAGTAATGACAGAAACAAAGATACTTTTAGAAAGTACAATATAAATTTGAGTTTCAAGCTTACTTAGGAGAAGGGAAGCTTGATGAATATGGACCAAATCCCATCTCTAGTCTGTAATACTCCTGGAGTTGCTAAATTACACGAATGGAGTAAATAAGAAACGGCCTCCCTTGCAAGGGGCAACTTGCTTTTACAAGGAGTCACTTTTCCTTTACTTAACCCTGTACCAGTCTCAACAATCAGACTACTCTAGTCCATATGTGCACGTAATTGTAAAACTACTTTGCTGTTGGCTGTTTGCTATTGGAGTCCTTTGCTATTGGCTAAGGGTTCTCTATGTGCTTTATTATAATCATTCTGTAAGTAGGATGTCCCAATTGTATTCAGACATGTATAGCAAATGCAGGAGTAGGGTAAAGGGTGCGAGACTGCAACAGAAAACTAAACCAGTGGTTCTCAACCTTGGCTGCACAGTGGAATTACATGAGAGGT